GTGCCTGAGCATATATTTATGGGTCTGATTGTTTGTCAGTGTTTGCAGGTGGGTCTGAGTGTATGCGATTGTGTCTGAGGGTGTCTGAGTGTGTCTAAGTGTTTCTGGCTTTGTGAGAGTGTGTCTGAGTGTGTCTGAGAATATCTGTGTGTGTGCGAATGTGTCTGGTTGTGTGCGAGTGTGTCTGAGTGTGCCTGAGTGTGTCTGAGAGTGTGTGAGTGCTTCTGAGTGTGTGAGAGTGTGTCTGAATGTGTGCGAATGTTTCTGAGTGTGTCTGGATGTGTGGGAGTGTGCTTGAGTGTGTCTGAGTGTGTTTGAGTGTGCTCAAGTGGGTATGAGCATCTCTCAGTGTGTCTCAGAGTGTCTGAGCGTGTCTGAGTGTGTCTGGGTGTGTGGGACTGTGCCTGAATGTGTCTGAGTGCCCCTCCCCCACCCTCAGCGATCTTCTTGCCCCTCCCCCACCCTCAGGGTCCCTCCTGCCCCCCCCCCAGCCTCAGGGGCTTTCCTGCCCCTTTCGCACCCTCAGGGAACCTCCTGCCTGTCCTCCACATTCCGGGTCCCCTCCTGCCCCTCCCCCACGCTCAAGGCCTCTCCCCCACCCCCAAACCCCTCCCCCCCAGGCCCCTCCCCGACCCTCTGAGCTCTTACTGGTGTTACTGGATGGGTCCCTGAGCTCTTACTGGTGTTACTGGTGTTACTAGTGGTACTGGGAGGTTCCCTGGGCTGTTACTGGTCTTACTGGTGTTACTGGGAGGGTCCCCGGGCTCTTACTGGTGTTACTGGGAGGGTCCCTGAGCTCTTACTGGTGTTACTGGGAGGGTCCCCGGCCTCTTACTTCTATTACTGGGAGGGTCCCTGAGCTCTTACTGGTATTACTGGGAGGGTCCCTGAGCTCTTACTGGTATTACTGGGAGGGTCCCTGAGCTCTTACTGGTGTTACTGGGAGGGTTCCTGGGCTCTTACTGGTGTTACTGGGAGGGTCCCGGACCTCCCCAGTCTGTTACTGGTCTGTTACTGGGAAGGGGGTGTGGCCTCACGCCGCCACTGGTCCCTTACTGGTCGAACTGGGAGCCTCCTCCGAGATCCCCCCAGCCCTTACTGGAGCCTTACTGGTGGAACTGGGAGGGTGGGGGCCGTTACTGGTCCCTTACTGGTCTGTACTGGGAAGGGAGAGGGGAGGGGCCGCCCCCTCGAGGCCTCTCCCCCTGCAGTGACGTCACCGGGTCCCAAAAATAGCCCGGGGGGGCCCAAATTGGGGAGGGGGACTCGGAGCCGCTCCCAGTGCGACCCGTTCAGGTACTGGGAGGGACTGGGAGGGACTGGGAGGGAACTGGGAGGGACTGGAAGGGGGCGGGGCCTCCCTCTCTCCCCCCCCCTCCGTGTCCTTGGGGTGACCTTGGGGCGGGAGGGGGATGGACCGCTCCCAGTAGTTCCCAGTAACCCCAGTGACCCCCCTAGTAACCCCCGTTACTCACCTCAATCCCCAGTGACCCCCCCAGTAACTCCCAGTAACCCTCCAGTAACCCCACTAACCCCCCCAATGACCCCCCCAGTAGCTTCCAGTAACCCCAGTAACCCCAGTGACCCCCCCAGTAGCTCCCAGTAACCCCAGTAACCCCAGTGACCCTCCCAGTAGCTCCCAGTAACCCCAGTAACCTCAGTAACGCCCCCAGTATCTCCAGCGACCCCTCCAGTAACTCCCAGTAACCCCAGTGCCCATCCCAGTGCATCCTAGTGACCCCCCCAGTAACCCCAGTGACCCCGATTTTTTCCCCATTTTCCCGGATTTTTCCCCATTTTCCCAGATTTTCCCCCATTTTTCCACATTTTCCTGAATTTTTCCCCCATTTTCCCGGATTTTTTTCCCATTTTTTCCCCATTTTCCTGGATTTTCCAAAGATTTTTTCCCCATTTTCCCAGATTTTTCCCATTTTTTCCACATTTTTCTGGATTTTTCCCCATTTTTCCCAGATTTTCCCCCATTTTTCTCCACATTATCCCAGATTTTTTCCCATTTTTTCCACATTTTCCCCAATTTTTCTCACATTTTTCCTGGATTTTCCCAGATTTTTTCCCGCATTTTCCCCCATTTTTTCCACATTTCCCAGATTTTTTCCCGTTTTTTCCCCATTTCCCCCATTTTTCACAGAATTTCCCGTATTTTTCCCCATTTTCCCAGATTTTTTCCCTTTTTCCCCCATTTTCCCCGATTTTCCCCACATTTTTCCCACATTTTCCTGGATTTTCCCCATTTTTCCACATTTTCTCACATTTTTATCCAGATTTTTCCAGATTTTTTCCTACATTTTCCCAGATTTTTCCTCATTTTTCCCAGAATTTCCCCATTTTCCCGGATTTTTCCTATTTTTTCCCCATTTTCCCAGATTTTTCTCCAGATTTTCCCAGATTTTTCCTCATTTGTCCCAGAATTCCCCCCATTTTTCCCACATTTTCCCGGATTTTTCCCATTTTCCCCCCATTTTCCCCCAGATTTTTCTCCATTTTTACCAGATTTTCCCGGATTTTTCCTCATTTTCCCCATTTTTTCCTCATTTTTTCCACATTTCCCCAGATTTTTCCCCATTTTTCCCAGAATTTCCCACATTTTCCCCCATTTTCCCCCATTACCCCGGATTTTTCCCACATTTTTCCTGGAATTTCCTGCGTTTTTCCCCATTTTCCCACATTTTCCCAGATTTTTCCTCATTTTCCTGGATTTTTCCCCATTTTTCCCCCATTTTTTCCACATTTCCCCCGATTTTTCTCCAGATTTTCCCCACATTTTTCCCCCATTTCCCCCTATTTTCCGGGATTTTTGAGCCCCCAATTTTCCAAATTTCCCAAATTTCTCCAGTGGGAAAAAATGGGGAGAAATTTGGGAAAAAGCAGGACTTTCAGGGAAAAAGGGGAAAAATTGGGGAAAAAAGTGGGAAATTTGGGGAACACGAATGAAAAATTGGGGAAAATGGGGGAAATTTGGGGAAAATTGATGAAAAATGGGGAAAAATGGGGGGAAATATGGGAAAAATGGGGGAAAATCCGGGAAAATGTGGAAAAAATGGGGAAATGTGGGGAAATGGATGAAAATCTGGGAAAATGAGGGGGGAAATTGGGAAAAATGGGGAGAATTTGGGAAAAACAGGGAAAATTTGGGAGAAAAAGTCAGAAATTTGGGAAAATGGGGGATTTTGAGGGGAAATGGAGGGAAAATTGGAAAAAAGTGGGATGGAAATAGTGTTGCGGAGGGCAGCTGTGCCACAGAAGTGCTGATTGCCTGTCCTCGCCTGCAGGCCAGACGGCTGGCACACTACAGCCCTTAGACTTAAACTTCCAAAGCGCTTGGATCTTACACCAACAGCTCTGGAAAAACCAAAGGCTGATGCTCCCTGGCAGTGCTGCTGTGAGCAGCATGACAGAAATGATCCAAAATACAAGCGGAGAACTGCAAGGGTAAGTTGACCAATTGTGAGAAACAGGGAACATAGTCCCGGACACTGGTGGGGAATCCCTTTGGTCAAAAAGCCCCTTGATAAGGGGCAGGCTTTTGAGACATGGAAGGGAAGGTTAGAGAAAGGGGTGTCTGGAGCACTCAGCGTGTTAAACGTAGGAAGAAGACCTCAAATAAGACAAAAATGTCCGGATGCTTGATCTGGTGCTTTTCTGAAGACTTGACTATCACTGTGAGTCCGCCACAAATTTGGCATCTCCCAATACTCTCCTGTTGTAAGGCAAAAATTGTGTGAACAATTTTCTTTATATTTCTGTGTGTTTCACCTTGGCATGGCTGGGTGCAGATAGTAAAAAATGCTGCGCCACTAATATGGCTGCAGGCCTTGTGCCAAGATGCCAAGGAGGAGTTTTTGGCAGGTGAATAAAGTTTTCTCATCTCCTATGACCACCTGTTGTGGTCCAATTAGCAGTGGACAGCAGAGCATGTTTTCCTTATGTAACCAATGTTGTGTGAACAAGAAGCTGAGCGTCATGAGCACTATATAATCTGTCTTTCTCCTAATAAATCCGACATTTGCCTGATCATATTGATCCTGGAGCAATCTGTCCATACCCTTCCATCGAAATCTGACGCCCGAACAGGGACTCAAAGTTCATCAGTTCTTCAGGACAGAAGACGAACAGAAGAGCCGAAGGAAGCAGCTGTTACAGGCAGCGCTGAACCCCGGCGCTGTGATCAAAGCCGTGCACGGTCAAATTGGAAGCTCGCCTTGGCCCGGTGAGTCAGCTGGCGGGAGTATGGGGTCCACTGATTCTAAAGATGAAGAAATTGTGGGAAGGCTCCTGAAAAATATAGTCTCTCTAAGAGAGCCAAATTACGATAAAAAAGCCCTTGAAGGGTTAATTCTCTGGGCGAGAGCTAAGAATCTACTCCCCTCTGCTCAAGCAGCCTTTGAGGTATCCATTTGGGGTGCTATTAAGGCTCAAATATGGGAAGAAATGGAACAAGGGTCTAAAAATGTTAGAAGATATAGAAAATACCCTAAAGTTTGGCGCTTAGTCGTTGAATCGCTGAAAGAGTTAACTACGGATCAGCGAAAACTTGTAATTGCTCAGGGAACTTTGTCGGGAATCAGCGGGACTACGGCGTGTCTCCGAGCCAACAGATCTGTTTACGAGGAGGTCCTAGTGCCTGCAGCTACACAGCCGAGATCGCTAATGAAAGCAGCAGATCTCACTCAGCTTAGCAGCGCGCTTGTGCCTGCAGAGACTGTAAGAAAAGTAGGAGCAGCGGAGAGCGACGCTGGCACTCTGCCAGCGCCACCGCCCTTCTCTGCGCCTGCGTTGCCAGCATTGCTTACCTTCTTCTGAGCCTGCGCGGTCAGCAGAGCTAGAAGTATAAATAGTTAAAAGTTTGGAGAACCGATGTACATGTGTTAGAGAGCAATCCCCATGTCCCTTTAGCGCTGAATAAAGTAAGGTCAACTCTCGAACCTAACCATCTGATTAGAGAGTTTATTCACCGGTTTTCGGTGACAGTTTCTGGGGACCCAGATGTGAAAAAGCAGCGCCGACACGGCAGACCAGAGGAATCGTTGGCCCTCCAGTGTGTACCAAAGGAATTTTGGGGAGATCTTCCAGTTCCCTGGTGTGGAGAGTTCACTATGCCTTCTTTTCTGGGGAAAAAAAAAATAGGACATTTATTTAGGGTACTTGATCTTAAGGCATTTTGCCTGCACATAAGGCACACCAATCAGAAGGACGCAGTGTGAGGCTGAGAGGTTTCTGTCATGGTTTGCGGGCTTGGGTAAGATTGGGCATTTTTTACGGGACGCACATAGAATCTCAGCTTTGGGAAAGGTTGGGAAAGGTGTTAAAAGGGTAGTTTTGCCTGGGGTGCTAAAAATGGGAGCGGGTCTATCTTCCCAATTCCCAACAGAAGAGATCCCAGAAAGGTCCCCTGCAGGTTGTATTTTATGGAACAGGAAAAGGCTGGGGAGCAGTGCCCTGATGCAAAAGCAACTGGTTGAATATTGTAATTCTTAGTGGCTGATGTATAAGCTTAACGACCTCAAAAAATGGCCCGTTAATGGGAACTGCCTTGATGGCTCCCAGTCCATGGCAACCCCAGCACCATCCCACCAGCCTGACCCCTCTGCCTCACCTCTCCCCAGTGTCTCCTGACTTTTTACCAAGGCAGCATCCATGGCAAATCCCACTCAGCAGCAGAGCCAGGGCTCAGCAGCTCCAAGAAAAAACCTCCATGACCCACAAGGGACTCATTGCATGCAATACCTAGGATAGGGAAAGAAGTTCGGTGGCATTTCTGAAAGTTGCCTGGAGCCCTGCTTCTCCTTGCTACCTCCCCGACTCACCTGCAACGCTCATCTCTTTCCAAAGCCTACTGGGATGGCACTGCCAAAGAGAAGAGGGGAATGCTTACTTGCGGAGCCCTGTAATACCTTGCCATTGCCCACCAGGCCAGCGGAAGAGCACCCAACCTTGTTGCTTGGCTCCTCGGCCTGTGGTTCTGCTCCTCTGGGAATATGGACGGCCACTGCAAAAACATCACAGAGGCAAAGGCACATACTGATGGATCCCCTCAGAGGGAAACACTGTGACCAAAGTTCCCCTCTGAGGTTCCTTATGATTAAGCAAACTGTGATCAACAGGAGTACTGCAGACATGGTATTTGTTCTCAGACAACTGCAAGAGAAGTGTAGGGAACAGAATAAAGGTCTCTATGTAACCTTTGTTGATCTTACAAAGGCTTTCGATACTATGAGCAGAAAAGGTCTGTGGCAGATTTTGGAACGTTTAGGTTGTCCCCCTAAGTTCCTTAAAATGATCATCCTACTTCATGAGGATCAGCATGGGCAAGTGTCAGATACGGCGATGCACTTTCTGAGCCCTTTCTAATGTACAGTGGTGTGAAACAAGGCTGCGTTCTCGCACCAACCCTATTTACAATCTTTTTCAGCAGGATGCTCCAAAGGGCCAAGGCAGACCTCGACAAAGAAGATGGGATCTACATTTGATATCGTACTGATGGAGGCCTGTTCAACCTAAGGCAACTGAAGGCCCACACTAAGGCCTTAAACCATCTTGTCTGGGAGCTGTTTTACTCTGACGCCCTTGTTGCCCACACAGAAGCAGCTCTGCAGCGTTTAACACCCTGCTTTGCAGACGCTGCTGAGTTTTTTGGGCTGGAAGTCAGCTTGAAGAAGACAGAAGTTTTCTATCAGCCTGCACCTCAGGAAGTCTTCCATCATCCCCATATCACCATTGGCAAATCAGAGCTCAAATCAGTTCAGCAGTTTAATTACATAGGTAGCATCATCTCCTCGGACAGTAAGATTGATGGAGAGATAGACAACACGTTAGCAAAGGCATATAGAGCTTTCAGAACACTCCATAAAGGAGTTTGGCGAAATAAACACTTGAAGAAAAGTACAAAGATCAGTGTTTACAGAGCCATTGTGCTGACTACTCTCTTATATGGGTCCAAATCATGGGTCATTTACTGCCACCACCTGCGACTCCTACAACGCTTACATCAACGCTGTCTCCATACAATCCTAAACATCCACTGGTCAGATTATGTGACCAATACATCTGTTCCAGAACAGGCAGCAGTTACGAGTATTGAAGCCATGTTGCTGAGAACACAGCTGTGCTGGGCAGGGCACGTCTCCAGGATGAAGGACCACCACCTCCCTAAGATCATGTTCTGTGGTGAACTCGCCACTGGCTGCCGCAAGAGAGGAGCCCCAAAGAGGAGATACAAGGACTCCCTGAAACTACATCTCAGCCTTGGCCACATTGATCTTCATTGCTGGCCTACCCTGGCCTCCAATCGGGAGGTCTGGAGACACACCATCTATAACGCTGTTGCTTCCTTTGAGAACGCACACAGGATCACCATCGAAGACAAAAGACAACGTAGAAAGAATTGTATCCTGCCGATACCATTCAACGAGTCTTTCTGCTGTGCCTTTTGCAACTGACCTTGTCTATCTCGCATTGGCCTCTTTAGCCACCAGCGCGCCTGTAGCAAATGTGGGTTTCCCAAATCTTCGTTCACAAAGACTGGCCATGATTGACAGAATAAAGAAAGAGCGTTTCTAACTCCTGTCTGTAGTACAACTATCCTGAGAATACAGGGTTAAGGTGATAGTTAAGCATGACTCATTAAAATATTAACATCATCACTGCTGCAAGTATGGCAGCAAGGATGCATTTCATATGTTAAACCATCAACTGCACAGAATTCACTTCCCTGTGAAATATTTCTTTAGAGCTTGTGTGTGGCTCTGCTTTTTCCGCTGCTTTTAATCTCACTGACACACATTTGAAAAGGGCAGACATAACAAAAGCTATGACAGGTCACTAGAGTGTTTCCTGGACTCTTGTAGCCAGAAAACTGTCAAACTGTGAACAGTGGCTATATTTGTTGAAGTTTGTTTTCTTTACAGAAGTTCTATGTCATTTTCAGGGATGTGGTGTAGCACCCTTTTGCTTTAGACTTTGTATGTCTTCAGATCTATTCAAGAGTTTGAAAAAATATTCAGTCATATCAGTCTCATCCTAGTTGGAACTATAACATTACCAGTATATTTTAGCAAGAGTGACAAACTACCTCAAGAGAAGTCCAGGGTGGAATATCACAAGTACTGGAAATTCAGCCACTCTGCAGGAAGCTTGCATGGCAAATACTGTGCTTGGCCTGGTGAAAAGGACCTATGCACTGACCTCAGCCTCCTGCATTGAGAAAAACACTCTCTGCACAAATTCCAGGGAAGTAATTTTAGTTTTTCACAGGCAGATCAATGTAGTTTTCCACAGGCAGAGATGAGCCACTTGCTTGGAGTGACCTTCAAGGTGTCAAGGGCTGCTCCTGGACAAAAGTCAGAATTGTAATTCAGTTTTTGTGCACTCTGTATATGTATACCTGTACTTCAGATAAAATGTATTGTCCACTGTCATAGTTTAACCACAGCAAAGAGCCAAGAACCATGCAGCCACTCGCTCGCTCCCCCACTGGCAGGATCAGGGAGAGAATCAAACTGAAAGGGTAAAAGCTAGAAAACTCATGGATTGAGATAAAGACAGTTTAATAAGGAAAGCAAAAGCAAAGCAAAACAAAAAATTAATTCCCTGCTTCCCATGGTGTTGTAGTTACAGGGGTAGGAGGTGGAGTTTTGCACTATGAGGGGGTGACCAAACTGTGTATTCTGCATCCTCTACATCACGCTTGGTTTTGCCTTGCCTGTGTTTTCCCCATTGTTTTTGTCCAGTTGATGAGAGCGTTGAATCATTTGTTTGCCACAGAGTTTTTACTTCGTTTTCCTGGGCCACGTGGAGCTGGTGCAGTGGGAATGGGAACTGGTTTTGCTTTTGCCCTAGGGGTGGGGCGTCCAGGTAGCAATTTTCTTTGCCTTTGTTGGTTTTGTGGGTAAACCATTCTTTTTCCTCTGTATTGTTTTGTTATTTGCAAATTTTACCTCAGTAAAATTGTAACTCTAATGTTTTTAACCTCTCACAGTCTTATTTTCTTTGTTTTCCTCCTCCACTATCATAAGGGACAGCTCAAGCAGTCTTAACTTTTCCCTGCTGAGTTTTTAAAACCAGCACACCATGTGCAGGCAGGTATTCAGACATCTCCAGGAGACCAGGGTCCCATGCCATCACGCATAACAGTTACTTCAAAAGACAAATGCCAGCACTTCAAACATCTGCCCTTCCTCTTTCTCTCCCTTACTTTATATACTGAGCATGATATATGATCTGAAATATCCCTTTGGTCAGTTGGAGTCACCTGTCCCAGCTGTGTCTCCTTCCACCTTCCCATGCACCCTCAGCCTCCTTGTCTTCATGGTGGTACAGAAAAGGCCAGAAAAGGCCTTGGCTCTATGTAGCCACTGCTCAGGAATAACAAAAACATCTCTATTATCATCACTGTGCTCAGTACAAATCCAAACCACAGCCCCATACCAGCCACAGTGAAGAAAATTAACTCTCCCCCAGCCAAAACCAGCATATACCCAAATCTTGATCCTCTTGCACCTTTAAAAGCCCATTACAGCATGTGTGCTTTTCCATAAGTACTATTTCTTCCCCTAGATTTCTGTGTAAATAAACAATTAGTCATGCTCAACAGATGGGATATTAAATAGACATGATCCCACTTGAGTGGACAGTTTGTGAAAAATACTGAAGTATACATTCCTATCCACTGAGGAATGCTGCCTGAATCTAGAGATAACTACTATGCCATAAAAAGTCAAGCTTTGTAGTGATGAGGAAATCTTCAGGCAATGTTCCTGAGGCTCTGTCTGATAATGCTAACTGGAATTACAGAATGAATGTAAACACAGTATGGTCATTATCTGCCTGACAGCAATGCCAGAAACCAGTGGAGAAGATAATATCACAGCTGGGATGCTGCTGCTAGACTGCTACAAAAGAAAAGTTGCTGCTGCTTTGTTCTTGATAATCATAGGCAAGTAAGTTTATCTGGTTATATGTCAGTTTATCAGATTTGAAAAGCAGCTATTAGTACAAACTTCCTTGGGAGTCTAACCCAGTTGGAAAATGTTGAATGTTAATGGTGGTGCCATTGCAAATAATAATGGCATAGGATACGTTGTGCTGAGAGCTCTACCCACACAGGCTATCGGCATTCAGGTTCTTCATTTTCCAAGCTATTCCTTGAAGTTATACTTTTTCCTAGGAATCAATAAAACTATGATTTTTGATTTAATTTACCTCAAATTTAGAGGTAATTAGGACACAGCTAGCAGGAAAAATTGCCTGTACTTGCTAGACTTCCTTCCAAACAGATCATTGAAGTTTCATTCAGGGTCTATCCCGAGGCAGCTGTACCAATTGGGAGTGCAATGAAGATTACAGTATGCCTGTGACACCACTTCTGGACCGAAGAGAACAGCTGGCACCTCTAAACTTCCATCTTCTAAACTTCTGGGTGAGACTCTGCATATCATCTGTTCCTATACTCTCTTCTCTGGGAAGGAGAGCTGGGTGCACAGACTGGGCAGGAATCTCTGTCATGCTCCAGTTAAGTGTCTAACTTTGACAATCAGGACAACAGGGACTACCAGACTCGAGATGAATATGTGGAGACTGAAAAGAACCCTGGTGTGGGAGGAAAGATCCTACTCTTTCTTACTGGTTTAATATAACAGTGCATCATACTGACACAGAAAAACTTCTTAAGAAAAAATTTATGAGGAGTTTGAGAGGAGCTTCTGCAACGATGCACTCCCCAAACCACAGGGAAAAGGACTGATTTGGGTTATCCTACTTAGACTGAGATTATTTTTGCTTTTGTGATAAATCTCTCTGTAGTCTGATACAAGAACGGACCAGACCAAATACCCAACTAGTTGACAATTGTATCCCATGACACCAAGTAGCAGAAGCTTAGGAAAATATTATTAAAAAATACAAGTACTAGAGTGTACTCTGAGAGTACTCAAAATCTATGATGGATCCTGGCCATCCCCTCCTTTACCTTTTTGGCTTCCACAGCATGATGACGATGTCTGTGGTATGAACTGGGTAACACGAATGTAATACCCTGACACCCATGGCAGCAGTTAGCTCTGGAATTGCTCTTTCCAAATCTAAGGCACCCACAGAAAAATAGGGATACTCCCTTTATGCTGGAGAGGGCTGTAGGAAAGCAGAGCATCCAAGTTCACAGTCAGATTGTTCACACTTATTCATGAGCATTTGCCGTGTAGTTTCAACTTAAGGGATTAAACTTTCTCCTGATGCAAATAGGTTTAGC